ACGGCTTTATGTAAATTCATACTAAGTATATTATACATGGTTTTTTAAAAAAATCTAAAAATTAGGGAAAATTGGAAATAAAGGATATCTACTTAAAAATTTGTCCATATATCCCCTTTTTTGTAGATTGGTCAAATAGGTTTTTTAAAAATCAAAAACCCAATTTTACCCTCATTTTCTCACAAATTTCATTTTAAAAATAAAACTTCCTAATTGGTTTTACAAAATTAAAATAGAAATAATAAAATCACAAAAACTCCAAATGAAAGAGAGTCTTTCACGAAGACCTAATAAAAGACTTGTTTTTTTTTTCTTCTTTTCGTCAAACCATCTATCGGGAAAAGAAAAAAACACGTTTGTTGCCGCCGGCGATTCCTCTGTCTTCTCTCAATCGTCGTCGCCAGCGATTCGTCAGCAGTCTCTGTGTCTGGCGCCGTCTTGCTTCCTCTTGATTTCAGCTTGAAGCTTCCTATTGGTTCGTCTCTCTCCTCTGTTGTCTTCTAGTTTCCCCTTTGTTTGACTGAAATCCTGTCTTCTTCTTATTAAATTCGAAATGAATTTACTTGTTCTCTCGATTTAGTGTAATTTGCAAGAGTTTATTTCAGTTTGCATGTAGATTTGTTAATTTCTTTGAATTCGTGTAGTTCAGATTTGAAGTTTCAATTTTGTGAGTTTTAAAATTCCAAATTTCAATTGCATGTAGATTCCTTTGTTTGTTTTGTTCCTAGATTCCTTTCATGCGTTTCAAGTGTCAAAACATCAATTATTGATTAAGTCTTCTATCTCTTTGATTCATGTTAATGTATATGTGTTTGTGTTCGAATTCATTGATTTAAAAAGAGTTTATGAAGATTATTTCAGAGAATTGTTGTTTCGGGATTTAAAACTAAGTCATTGATTTAAAACTAAGTCATTGATTTAAAAAGAGTTTAAGAAGGTTAGGAGATGCGTTGCTTGAGTTTGAAAAAGGCTTAGCTTGAATCATTCTTTGATCTTAAAATAATCTCCTCAAACGTAGGAGTGTATTAGTTGCTCTATATATTTGGTTATGTTCTTTGAATTTGTGTTACTCGTTTAGAGATTTCAGTTTTTGTGTTGTAAAACTCCAAATTTTAATTGCTAATTGATTTATTAAGTCCTCTAGCTCTTTGAATCATCTTTGTGTATAATCTTGTAGATGTCTCCATTTAGTGAGATATACATGCCTCAAACTGTGATAATGGAATATGTAAAACTTTAGATTGAGGAAAGATTCACTTTGTTTAGGGTCTTATTTTTATATCAAGTGTTTTGTCTCTTAATAACTTTAAATATTTGATAAAGCTAGTTTGTTCTCTATTTTCAGGTTTTGGATCTACATTACATCAAAGGTTATCAATGGAAAACAATCTAGGAAGCACGAGTAAGACATCAGGTACTTTAACATACTAATTTTTGTTTGCTAACTGCAACTATGCACTATAATTAGTCATCACTGTGAATGGTTTTATTTACATATGTTTGTTTTTTATGTGCAGCCACTACTAAGGAGTTTCCCAAGCTCCTTTTCGGACATGGTAAAGAGCCTGAAGTTGAGAAAATTAACAACAGCTGCAGATTATCGATACTTAGGAAAATCAAAGATGCTTTGCCACTAGAGTATAAGAAAGTGAAGTCTGATCCTCGGTTTGCACAAGTCTTCGCCATATACGAAAATGGTTTACATTATTCGGGTCGTCTGGTGCACAGCCTAATGTGTAACTCTTCAAAAGTTGCTACATTTCTCTGATGGTGGTGCCTTGTCTGTGCAGATTAGTAAACTCTTGTACAAACTAAGCCTTTTAAGATCAAAGAATGATTCAAGCTACCCTTTTTCAAACTCAAGCAACGCATCTCCTAACCTTCTTAAACTCTTTTTAAATCAATGACTTAGTTTTAAATCAATGACTTAGTTTTAAATCCCGAAACAACAATTCTCTGAAATAATCTTCATAAACTCTTTTTAAATCAATGAATTCGAACACAAACACATATACATTAACATGAATCAAAGAGATAGAAGACTTAATCAATAATTGATGTTGTGACACTTGAAACGCATGAAAGGAATCTAGGAACAAAACAAACAAAGGAATCTACATGCAATTGAAATTTGGAATTTTAAAACTCACAAAATTGAAACTTCAAATCTGAACTACACGAATTCAAAGAAATTAACAAATCTACATGCAAACTGAAATAAACTCTTGCAAATTACACTAAATCGAGAGAACAAGAAAATTCATTTCGAATTTAATAAGAAGAAGACAGGATTTCAGTCAAACAAAGGGGAAACTAGAAGACAACAGAGGAGAGAGACGAACCAATAGGAAGCTTCAAGCTGATATCAAGAGGAAGCAAGACGGCGCCAGACACAGAGACGGCTGACGAATCGCCGGCGACGACGATTGAGAGAAGACAGAGGAATCGCCGGCGGCAACAAACGTGTTTTTTTCTTTTCCCGACAGATGGTTTGACGAAAAGAAGAAAAAAAAAACAAGTCTTTTATTAGGTCTTCGTGAAAGACTCTCTTTCATTTGGAGTTTTTGTGATTTTATTATTTCTATTTTAATTTTGTAAAACCAATTAGGAAGTTTTATTTTTAAAATGAAATTTGTGAGAAAATGAGGGTAAAATTGGGTTTTTGATTTTTAAAAAACCTATTTGACCAATCTACAAAAAAAAGGGATATATAGACAAATTTTTAAGTAGATATCCTTTATTTCCAATTTTCCCATATAATTTTGCCTCGCGATGTACCGCAAAATCCTAGTTAAAACAAAATCCATGTAATAATAGATCCAGCGATCAGGATCCGCTGGATGGTGAGAGCAACTGCAGATCTTCTACTTTCCTTTTTGTTTAATGAATTTACATAAATTTCTTTTCCTATCGGCAAATTAATGCCATAATGTTTTTTTTTAATTTGTTTTTCAGTTAGTGAGAACTGAAAATTTCGTTTATATTGTCATGGATCTCAGAATTTTTATTTTAATTTTTGTTAAAAATCGATCTCAGGACTCAGCTGTTAGACTTTCTTTAAGGTTTATATAATAACAACTAATATGATCAGAAGTCTAATTCAGATTTTTTCCTGATTTCGACTTTTACTTGGTGTTAATTTTAATTACTGTAATATTTTCAGAGTCTGTCTTTCAGGTCAATATATATCCAAATTATCAAGAATAAACAAAAAGCTCAATTAATGATTAGTGTTGTCCCTTTATTTTATTTTTGTTTGATAATATTTGATGACTTAGTAGAATATCCTTTTAGAAAAAAACCTTTAACAAAATTTTTTTTTAAAAAAATTGTTGATTGTTGATAAGTGTTGTTAGATGTTACCTAAGTAAAAACCACAACGGTCCTTTTGTTATTTCCTTTTTTCCGCAGCTCAACTTTTCCATTCTGAGAAAAGGAAAATCTTTTTATCTATTTCAATGTAAATAAATTAAAGGATGGAAAATAAAAAGGAAATTAGATCTCGCTTTAATTGCTTATATCTCTGTTTGAGACTTTATTCCCAAGCTATTACAAATTCTCAGATTTCACTTTCACTTAATTGAGGTTTTGCTTAAAAGCTTGTTGCCAAAGCTATCAGAAGAATCAATCGTTCTATTTGCAATGGTGGCGTTGGATTTGGAGTTCGAAAGGTATCTGGGAACAGGTTCGTTTGGTTCGGTTAGTCTCTTCAAGTACAAAAGACGACGCGACGGCGAGACTCTCTACGCCGCCGTGAAAACCTCTGGCTACAAACACGCTAAGTCTCTCTACAAAGAGTTTCAGATCCTGTCTGAATTCAAGGGCTGTTCGAGAATCGTCCAATGCTACGGTAACGGAGTAAAACAGAGATTTAACGACAAGGGTTACGTAGAGTACAAGATTGCCATGGAGTACGCAGCTGGAGGAAGCTTGAGCAATTTCGTGGACCGATTCAAAGACAGGAAATTGCCTGATTCGATGATCAGAGAATTTACTCGTATGCTTCTTGAGGGTTTAGCCACGATTCACGAACACGGCTATGTTCACTGCGATCTCAAACCCGAAAACATCCTTGTTTTCCCTAGTTCTGTCTACAAAAACGGCGCGTGGAGATCATCTTACCAATTGAAGATTTCAGATTTCGGGTTGTCGAAAAGAGATGGAGACACTAAGTGGTGGCATCCTCGTCAACCGTTTGCGGGAACACCAATCTATATGTCGCCGGAGTCGATCTCTCACGGTGAGATAGGGAAAGGACTTGATTTATGGTCGTTGGGATGTGTCGTATTGGAGATGTATACTGGAAAGAGACCATGGTGGCATACTAACTATGAATTAGAAGATCTCATGAAGTGTTACGAGCCATTGTTTCCGCGTAATCTTCCTTGCGATGCAAAACTCTTTCTCATGACCTGCTTTGCTTTTGAGCCACATGAGAGAAAAGACGCGTTGACATTGTTGAGGCAAAGCTTCTTCCATGGAGATGCCAATAAGTTCACAAAGCTTCAGATGAATGCGAAGATTGACAATCCGGATGATTTCACCTTGCAACTGGAGAAACTTAGCATGATGCTTTCGGAAATTAGGACTATGTGTTAATTTGAAGTTGTTGAGCTTTGCAAAGAGCCCTGGTCAACACTGATATTGATTAGTTCACATTTTTATTAAAGTTAATTTCACGTTTGACATAAAAAAAAGATTTCATCTCACATTTTGGCAAAGTGAGATTCATTTCTCATGTTTTGACAATTATTCCATTTTATGACGAAAATGCCCTTGACGAAAAATGGAACGTGAACGGTTACGTTACGGTTTAGTTTCTAGCGGTTTAGTTACTTTTTGTTTTGAAAAAAAAAAAAAAAAAATTCAAGAAAACGAAGAATTCATCATCTTCGTTCGACATCTCCGAGAGATTCGAGAGAGAAGTAGAAATCAGTTCGGAATTCATTCATCCATATTCGTTTTCGACATCTCTACTTGATTTGAGGCATTGCATTGAACTCGAAAAACCGGCGAAGAGAAAGTTCCAGTTTTCCGGCGAAGGCGACCTGAGAATTCCGGCGAGATACCAACCTTCGAGATGGCTGGGAATAAACCAAACGACCTAGTCTATTCTAGGAAGAAGCATACGCAGGAAGGCCCCGAGAAGGACAAGGTGGAACTCAGAGTATCCCCGAGGAGGAAACTCCCTCCGAGAAATCCGCCGGAGGAATTGGGTAAGTTCCGATATTATTCCGTTTGTAGTTTCTTTGGGTGTATCGGAATCTTAAAGCTTGTTTGATTAAAGGGATAGAAGTTGCCGGATTTTGCTATATCTGTAGTTTGAAAATTTGAGAAGTTGAATTGGAAATCTCTGTTTCCGCCAAAATTCAGATGTTGAGTATATAATGTTGATAATTACTGTGTACGTACACGAATTCATACATCCGTACTTAATTGTATATCACTTGTAATTGCAGGCAGTACAAGCGTGGCTCCGACTGAAGATCTTATAGTTGAAGAGTTACCACCTAGACTCTTTGCCCTAGACCGGTACCCTGCGAAGACGAAGATGAACGCGTACTCCAAACCGGAGTACCTTTCTGATATAGCACAAGTTCTTAAGGGAAAAGAGGAGATGCAGTTTCTTCTCGAGTCTCCATTTGGGGACCTTTTTAGGATACCTGCTAACAAGTCTTCCTTCTCAGGTAAACTTGTTCTTGGACTAATATGTCGTCAGTTAGTGACGAGTAAAGTGAATGAGATGTGGATGGTCTTCGGCGGTCATCCAATAAAATTCGGATTAAGAGAATTTAGTCTGGTAACTGGTCTAGAATGTGGGACATATCCCAACAAGAAAGACGTGACGGATGTGCTAAAGGTTAAAGCTGGTAGTCAAAGTGTCTGGAAAACTCTGTTTGAGGAGAAGTTTGGGGAGAAGCCGAATCCAACAGTGCATGATTTGGTGGTCTGGCTGAAGGAGGAGGAAACCATGGATGGGTGGAAGCAGCTGGCCTTATCTCTTATAATCTTGGTAGATGGTGTGATAGGGTGCCATAATAACCCCATAAGGCCTTCTGAGTTCACTGTTGAGATGACGAAGGACGTGCAATTCTTCTGCAAATACCCTTGGGGAAGGGTGTCTTTTACCCGTACTTTGGAGAGGATAGCAAAATTCCAAACCCCTTCAGATGCTCAAAAACTGATAAGGTGTGTAAAGGATGGGTCTTATGCACTACATGGATTCCCATTAGCACTCCAGCTGTTTGCGTTCGAAACAATCCCATCCCTTGCTAAGCTAGTACCTGATGATGAAGCTAACAGGACATTTACTCAGAGGTCTATCCATCATCTTGCCTCACTGCGGGCAATCAGGACATCCAGCATCTTGGAGTGTGAGGCTGCTGAAGAGGTATGTACAATTGTTTATGTACGTACATTATTTAAAAAGTAAGTGTACATTCTCTAAGTGGTCAACAAACTTATTGGTGTAGGTTGAGGTAACCTATCTTGTGAAACCAGAGGACAATATTTGTCCTCCATCCCTGTCATGGGATGATGAAGTTGAGGATCCAAGAGTTGCTTACATTGAGCGACTGTTGTTAGCGGGTCATGAGTGGAAGGAGGAAGAATGGGTTGGAGGTAATGCTGCATTTCCAAAGCAGGAGCGCCCACCACAACTTGGAGAGATACGTGAGTGTAAATGTTGTTTTTATACTTTCTGATTATTGTCCCTTGAAGACCAATCAATGATTAAACTGGTCTATCGTAGGTGTGAAGAAGAGGAAAAGAAATGTACCAGCCCCGAATGCACCTTCTTTGAAAAAACAGAAATCTGTTGTGGAAGAAGAAAATGAGGACACTGCTGAGGATTGTTCTGAAGATCCCCAGTTTGAGAAGTTTGTAGTTGAACTTAGGAGGCGTTTCAAGAGGCAGGAAGCACAAAATAAACAAATGCAAGAAGACTTGAAGAAATTTGTCCGTAAGGAGATTCGTGCTGCCTTAGATCCAAAGGTCAAAAAGACAGAACCAACCAAAACTTCCCATGCTTCACAGGGCCCAAATAAATCGGTGGGTAAGGCACCGATGAGTGTGAAGAAGGCATCTAAAAAGATGTCTACAAAGAAAGTATTCAAGTCTGGAACAAGAAATTCTTCAAGGCTGAAGAATATAATGACGTCAGTTGCTGAGATTACTCAGCTTCCTGATGGTAACTCTTCCTCTGAGGAAGATGACCAGGTATGGCATGTACGTACATTTATATATAGTATTTTAAATGTACGTACATGAATTAGTATCAAATCCGATATATGTTGTGGGATGACAACATCCTTCGGATCCGCGATTGGTAGAATCGGTTCTTGAAAAGAATCGGAAAACGTTTGAAGGCCATACCACCATCCTACAACAACCTTCGGATCTATTCCAAACTCGATTGCAGCTGCTAGACCGTGTTCACATGGGATTCTCAACTTTGTGTACCTAAGACACGTACACGTACACTCGTCCAGAACGACATGAAAATGCTCACCTAACTTGCTTGTAACTTGATAACTCCACGGTCCAGACATCTTAACCGCGAATTTCCCTGACGCAGGCAAATCTTGGAGAAAACGCTCATCAACCTCAGGCGTCACTAAAGACTTACACCTAGCCACTTTTTGCCTCCTCGCTGCGAACCATCGCATTAGGACCTCTCGAATGAACTCTATCATGTACACAATCGGATATGATTTGGCTCTTGTTAAGACATTATTCATAGACTCCGAGTTGTTGCTAGACATGATATTGTAGCGTTCCCCTTTACAGTGAGCTCTTGTCCAATGCTCAAATCCAATTTCCTCTAAGTAATTTGCGCATGCAGCACTCTTAGCCCTTAACTGTTCGAAGTATTTTTCAAAATCTCTCACTCTGTAAGCTTTAGCAGCGCTGAAGAATAATCCAGATACACCATACTTACCATAATGGGTGGAGATATTTCGCTCAAGGTGTACTGCACATGCACCATGATGAGCTTTCGGATAAACCACACTGAGGCCGTTATATATTGAAGAATGTCTGTCCGATACAATCATTAATTCTTCACTGTCTGGAACAATGTCAGCTAATTTATCAAAGAACCACACCCATGAAGCGTCAGTCTCACCATCCACAACACCAAACGCTATTGGAAATATTTGGAAGTTCCCGTCTTGGGCACATGCAATGAGGAGACATCCCTTGTAACGTCCTACTAGCTGCGTTCCATCTACGACAATTACCTTCCTCATATACTTCAGACCTTTTATAGAAGCCCCGAGAGATACAAAAACATACTTAAAGCGCTGCGTACCATCAGCTTCAGGTGTAGAGTGTAGGTGAGTTATCGTACCCGGATTAGCTAATTTAAGAAGATACAAATAGGTAGGCAAAAACCTGTAACTTTTTATATCATCCCCCCTTACATTTTCCACTGCAACCTCTTTTGCTCTCCAAGCGGTAGAATATGAAATCCGAACATTGAGATCATTTAGGAGCAACTGTGGTAAATCGACAGCTCTCGGACCCCCTTGCGTAGAACTGTATCTGCTCTTCACTACCTCTCCGAGAAGCTTATAACTAGCATGTTTATTATAATGCTTACGAGTGTCGATGTCACACGTATGGGTGGTATCATACGATGTGATTTTGAAACATTCTGAATTCTTGACAACTTGAGCTGTCAAATGCCATGGACAAGTATCATCAACGCAGACCATCTCCAATCTTTTAGGACATGACCTACGTTGCTTGTAGCAAAAGCATTGTTTGATTGCGAGATAAGACATTATTTGTTGTATGACTTTTCTGTTCTTAAAAACACTCCCGACATACAAAGTCTCACCTGTCGTACTCAGTTCGACTTGTGTCTCATCATCTCGTAAATTGGCTAAATCATCGAATACCGGAGCAGCATCATTATCGAGAATCTCCAACTCGCCACCATGTAATGTAGAAAAGTCATTATACACTTCGTAAGCCTCAGCTGCGGTAACTAACCGATTATCATTCAGTGTCCCATTTGCGGGAGCTCCAATACCACGGTCGATAGTGACTTCGTATATACCATTAATATTGGTATCCGTGTTACATTCGCAGCCTGAATCTTGTACACACTCTGTAGTGTACGTACATTGGTACAAACCATGTTGACACGTACGTCTTGGAGTCACCGTTGGTGTACGGTCACCCGAATGAGAAATGTTATCTCCGCCAGGTGCAGTAACTAGCCGATTATCATTCAGTGTCCCACTTGGGGAATCTCCAATACCACGGTCGATAACATCATCCCCAGAGACATCGTCTATACCATTAATATTGGGATCGGTGTTACCTTCGCAGCCTGTATCTTGTACACATTCTGTTGTGTACGTACATTGGTACAAACCATGTTGACACGTACGTCTTGGAGTCACCGTTGGTGTACGGTCAACCGAGTTATCTCCCCCACGTACACGATGACTTGTGTACGTACACTCTGCCAATAGACGACTGAATTCCCCTGGATGTTGAACCGTTTGTTGAGTGAGAATGACGTCCTCCTCAACATTCCCTATTCCATATTCTTCAATAATTAAATCGTTCCACTTGTTGTAATCGTAATCTTCGCCACTGCCTTCACTACCGTCTATAGTAGGATCGAGGGTACTTCCCCCCATAGATCCATCATCACCCTGATAATCATCATACCCAGCACCATCTTCGTTTTCCTCCTCCTCTTCTTCATCCTCATCTGTTTTATCGTCTTCAACGTCGTCTTGCTCATCTACGGCCTCATTATTTCCATCTACATTTGAAGCCGCTACGATGGGATTTGGTGTCGTTGCACTCCCACACACACGGTAACTCTCACCATCGGTCCTAGGGACAGTATTCCCGAGTGCCTTGAAAGAGACAAACAAGGTGACACTAGGATCCCCACCACGAATCAAAAAGAATGTATCCAGGTTCATTTGATTGTCAATGTATACAGGAGGGCGTTTACTTTCTATCATCACTGACATCTTTCCCGGCATCCAGTAACTAATTATTGGATTGCATTCGGTGCACTTCAAACTGAAAACCTCGCATAATGTACGTACAAATTCCGTGTACGTCATGTTTTGCCTAACACGTACACAACGACCAAACCAGCCTTCCCATGGTTCAAATTTCCATTCTTCTTCTTTGCATTTCCACTCACCCACCATAGTAAATACGGGAATATCCATTACCAACCTGCATCATAAATTCACCAGAACCCCATTAAATGCAAATGAAAGCATGATTATATCTACAAAAAACAAAAAGAATTCCCAACTACACACTTATAAACATAAATCTATCCTCATTTAGCAATTTCAACTAAAAAAAGTGGAAATAAAAATATTCTGGGTTTTTATATAAAAACAATGTTGATCTTAGCACACAATCAAGACCCTAGTGTGTTAAAACAAAAAACTTCTTAACCAATTTCATTACTTACACGTTCAATGCTTGTCTTGGCTCCAAACTTTGTAAATCAAGAAGATCAAACCGATGCAGAATCACATTCGTTCAGAAAAATTTGTTTGTTTCATGGATCATGTTTGTCTCTTACAACTATTCACGCATAAAAACTAATATTAGAAAAGTAATGATGACTTTTGCATTAATTGTGACATGAGTCATGTCTAAACTTTTTGGGCATTAAATACTGATGTCTCATTGTGTTTTAATGTTTTTATTCCCAACTTGTCACTGTACTCCCGCACAAAATCAATTAAGAGCGAAATATATTGCGTAACCGGAACAGTGTACTTAACTAAACCTCTTAACTGAACCGTACAGTGAACCGCTTAACTGAACCGTACGCTTAACTAAACCGTACAGTGAACAGTACATCGGTAAGGGTAAAATGGTCAGATTTTGGCCAAAATGTCAAAACATGAAAGCTCATTCTCACTTTGCCAAAACTTGAAAATAAAACTTGGTCAACTGCCATAACTTGAAATTTACCCTTTTTATTAATTAGCAGAATTATGTAATAGTTTTTGGTCTATCACTGTCTTTGAATAGTTGGTTTGAATGTATATGAACAAGTTTATTTGTGCACCTTTTATAACTTCAAGATTTTCTTTATCACTCTTCAGTTCCAGGTACCAGATTCATGTCTTCTTTTCTTTGCACTCAATTTACTTGTTTAGAGTCCAAATTTATCCCTTATGCAGCAGCTTCCTCCGTTTCTTACATTCCTCCATAGCTTACGTAGCGTGAAAAACTATGTCAGAGTTCTTTAGTTTAGTCCTAATTTTTCTTTTCTGTTTTTAACCAGCTAATAAGCTATTTAGAGCATCTACACTTAGTCATCCCATGGAGGGTGTCTTAACTATAAATTAAAATCAATTTAATACTAATATAATCTGAAATTCCCACTAATTTTTTATTAACTTTTCTCCTTCCATTGGTGATCTTTAAATGGGTGTCTTATGTGTACAAAAACTTCTCCCCAAGAGAGACCATATTCTAGACAAGCTTGTGATAGTCTTCTACTTGTCTACAACAATAGAACTGTGGGTTAAATTGATTTTAGGAGATACCTGCAAATGTTTTAGGAGACATGAAAACTGCAAACTTTTTTTTTTTTTTTTTTCTGAAATTCTGTTTCTCCTTTGTATAGATTCATGGTTTCAGTACTAAGGACTGCAAGGTTTATCATTTCGCAATTATTAACCAGATACAAACAGATTCAGATTGTGAAAACACAAATCTTAGGTTCATATTCGAAAACAGTGAATGAAAAGAAATCCAGAGCTGAAGCCAAAGAGAACTAGCTCTAAAGAAAAGGAGAAGAAAAGCTTTTACAGGGAAGGGAAGATATTTCTTTTCTCAAGACTTCAAAGATCACACAAATGACAAAACTAATCCCGATCTTCATCTGCGTTACAAAAAGAGAAAGAGAAGTTTGAATATGACAAGTTGTGTAAGTAAAAGCCTAAAAGGTCATTATCTAGAATGCAAACTCATTCAATCCAACAAAACAAGAAATGTAATACGCCAAATTCTGCTAGACCCTCGCAAATGGTGATCAACAAGAAGAGTTTGTGAAAGCTTAGCAACTTCAACTGATCACTAACTAAAACGAGAACGGCTACATCTGTGATCACATCTAGTTTCTATTTACTGGCACCTTGCAGCCTATCTCACTCTAGAACCAAAGAACTAGTCGAAAGATTGTGTTGCTCATCCTATCTATCTTTCCACACTCATTGAGATCATGTTCATAAAAACACATTGTGTTGCTCAATCTGTCTAACTTTCATAACAGTGCCTTACTAAACACAAAGCAAAATTTGAGAATCTGATAAACCAAAAACGAGCGCTAATTAGCAGCTCTAGCCTTAGCAAATAGCAAGCATCACATCGTACCTAAATGACTCAATCCCATGACGCAAAGGTTCAATCTTTTCAACAACATAACCAAGAAACTCTCCTCTCAAATCCACCGCCTCTCTCCATTCACCACATCTCTCCTCACCAGTGACAAATTCCAAAAAGAATGGCAAGATTCGTCACAATATGGAGAATGCCTCTTGGGATTTAGATCAAGCCCCCACGAACGAAAAATAAGAACACAAAACCAAATATATCTCAATTCCTTAGCTCGTGTTAATTTCTCGATTCAGAACAAACCTGATTTAAGACCCAGAGAAGGAACAAACACACAAAGGATTTAAATCTCTCCAGCCCCTTTCGGGGAAATCAATTTTTTGGAAAACCCCTCTTTATTCTCACTACCCATTTCCTTCCCAATTTTTTCATAAACCAATTATACCCCTTATTCATTTAATTGTACATTTAATTTAATACCAACACATTTTTTATTCAACCAATCAAAAATTTTCTCTCTCTTCTCTCATTAAAAAACAAACCTACTAAATATCTCACCTTTTACGATTGCAGATTTGTTGAAATATTTTAGAATTGCAGATTTGGGACAACTGGAACAACTGGGTACAACTAAGTAGAATATTTACGGAAACCCTAAGTTTGGTGCAACTGGGACAAATGTGTACAACTATGTTGATGGTCTGCTACGGAAGTTATGAAATTATAGGCCGTTTTTTCTCTCTTTCTTTTTCAGGGACAATGAAAAGGAATTCAGTCATACGCTTTGCTTATGACGGATACTATACAAGTATCGGAGAAGATGTACATTGGATTTCTAATGCTGAAGATGAAGAAGTGCATTCTTTTCTTATGAATAAATCGAAAGGGGGACTATCCGGTTCCCCATAATAGTCAATGGGTTCTTCCTGAGGAGATAAAGCAACTGTTCGCCTATCCTCCGGATTATGAGTTAAAACAAGGAAGAAGACAAGAAACAAGATTCCTCTCCGTTGGAGGACATAGAGGAAGAGGACGTAAGAAGAGGTCGCATGGATCGAGCGGTTTGGGCGAGTGGTTTACCAATGATGCTGACGTTGATGGAGACGATGCGGGTGACCAAGGTTGATTTCTCAGTGCTATTTATTAGGTAAATTTAAGAAACGATGTTGTTTGTATTGGTTTTATTTGTGAAACTTATATGTTCTGTGTTGTACAACTAAGTTTTAGCAAGTACAACTATAGTTTATTTCTTTCTCGTATCTGTGCAAATTTTGTCAATCTTGGTACAACTAAGTACCACATGTACAACTAAGGTCTAATGCCTTGGCCAATTTTCAGAATTTTATATAATATGAAAATTTAAAACCAAATTAAAAAAACTTAAAAAAGGCATACACGATGGTAATGAAATTACACAAGAAGTTTTTAACAAAAAAATTCATATTTTTAGAAAATACTGAAATTCTTATTCAAAATCTCACATTTATACACTAACAACCTTATACTTTCATGGTTACTTTATAGATTTGAACTAAAATTTTATAAATTTTTGAAGTACTTGTATTTTGATAAATACAAATGCACAGATACAAAGTAATGGTATTTTTATGAGGCAATACATTCGGTTCCACCAACAAAAATTAAATTAGAGTTGATAACAACTAGATTTACTAAAATCTTTGTATTGTACAACTATGAGCAAAAATGTGCAACCGAGTACAACTGTACAACTATGAACAAATCTATGCTATTATTTAATAATATTTTTCAAAATGACGGCGCCAGATATGCCATTTGTCAGAATTTTTTAGATATTTAGATATTTCCAGATATTTTTAGATATTTCACTGTTTTTTTTTTAATTTTTTTCCAAAACTCTTACAAACCTACATATTTGTCAGATTTTTTGATTAATTTAGATTTGTTTTTTTTGGTTCAAAACGCTTAGATTATATTCAATACATAGATTGATACATAAAAATTTAAGATTCAGATTAAAAGATTCATACATAATTGGATTCAAATTCAAAGATTCATACATAATCACAAAACATAAACCCAGAAACATAGTTGTACCTAATCGTACCAGTTGTACCTAAACACTTAAATTTATACATCAACATCAAAGACCAGTATACAAGCGAAACTCATCATCAGAGACCAAAATAGGAGCTGAACTCTTCTCTTGCTCCATGTGCTTCGCCTGCTCTTGCTCCATCTCCTTCTCTTTTTCCTTCTCTTCCTCTTTCTTCAATATCAAACATTCAAAAGCAATCTTAAATTCTACCTAAATAATACGGATGGTTTTTGGTCACTATGAAACTCTCATTGTCTAAACCAAGACAATAAACGAGCAATCCAAACACAAACTCACATAATCTCATTATCTATCTACATAATTATAAGAGATAAAGTTTGGGTTTTCAACAAATTCAAATCCGAAACACATTTAAACACATTTTGAATCGGAATCCTTTTGAATCTATCTAAAGTAATTCAAATCCGAAAATAGAGAGAAATTCAAATCAAAAATTGGGACAAATTCAATCAGAAAATTACAACAAATTCAAATCCGAAAAATCATCCGTTTCACAAACAAAACCCAACAAAATCCATCGAAATCAAACAAAAGAAAGAATGAGAATGAAGAATTTATAGCTTACAAGAAAGGAGACGAAGGAACGTGGATTTGGATTGGATTTCTAACAAAGAATTTCCAACGAGAAGAAGAATGAAGGTTTCGATTCGGAGAGAAGAGGGAAGAAAAGAAGGTTTGCCGGCGACGAGAGAAGAACGACGGAGAGATGAACGGCGATTAGTCGTTTTTTTTTAGAGAAAAGGGGAAAAAAAATTAGAGTTAGGGATTTGATTTTGGGACTTTACGTTTTTGAGATTTTTGGGGTTAAATGATCCAAAATCTGACCCAATATATGTGGATCTAGATCCAAATTGAGGTTGAGTCAGTAAATAAGTTGAAAACCCAAGTTTTATTTGTCTTTTACTCTTTTCCATAATTAAAATAATTAATTTAACACAAGTTTTTTATTTGGGGGGCTAACTAGAGAATGATTTGAGGAGAGGGGGCCGATGAGAATTTTATCCACACACAAATTTGAAGAAAAATCAAAGACAGCGAGAGGGAGAAATCTACCCGGGAAGAAATTCGCAGGCGTGGTGATTGGAGTTATGAGAAAACGGGAAAAATGGGTTAAGAAACCCTGAGGTTTAAAGAAATTTTTTTTTACTCAGATGTTATATAAAGGTTAAAATATTATTAGTATATTATACATTTTTTTAAAATTATTTATATATCAAGTGTTTTTGTGTAATTATAATTAATATTTTTGATTAGTTTTTTTTTTATTGAGATTGTTTTATTCTTTTTTAATTAAGAAATGATTAATGAAAAATTAGTTTAATCCACTTCATTAAAGGAAAAAATTAAAGACATGTCATGAGAGAAAAAAAAGAAAGAAAGACGAAAGGTTACATAACTTATTGTTTTGCGAAAAATTTACATGTCACGACTGAGTTATAATGCTTCACAAAAGACGAAATATTGCGTAAATTTACATATTACGGCTGACTTATCAAAAGAACAACCTTCACAAGCTTGTCGTGCGTTGTTTCCTCATCTATCTGCACAACTCTACACCCTCTATCGTCGGTGTTAAATACATATTTGTGTTTCTTTACCCAATTACCGGAAACAATAATTACCGGAAACAGATCAATCATATCGGGAGAAGGATGAACGAAATTGAAGAAGAATGAGGAAGACGATGACAAATTGGATGTTCAAAATTTAAGTTCTGGTGATGTGAGAAGCACAGGTGAAGAACAACACAGTGAAGAACATCCTTCGAGTAGAAAAAAGACGTTTCGTTTTTCTTTTGATGATGATGACATGGAATGTCGTATCCGACGTCATTTATTAATTGATGAAGTGGCAAGTAAGCCACCAAGCGAATATGTAAATCAGCTTAATTAAACCATCCATCAAATAAAACTTTAAGTTAGTCGCAACATGAATACTATTACAGTAATTAAAAAACAAAAAAACGGCTACCAAATATTGTTTAATGAGTCGACCGTAATTGCATGTTATTCTGGTAATTAATCTTTCGCTACTAAGTCAGCCGTAATTAGGCCCTGTTTTCCGTTAATCCAGCTCATTACGGCTTATTTATGACACTCGAACATAAATCAGCCGTAACGACAGTCCATAACTAAGTCGTCTTTGATAACTCAGCCAACCGGAGAAAGTTAATTCAACCGTGTCGAAGCAATAACTCAGCCAAAATTTTGACAAATCAACCATCGGATAAAAACTCAGCCGTAACTTAGGCTGGGTTATGCTCGTAAGTCAACCGTTTGCTCTTAACTCAACCATTTTCCTTAAATCAGCCGCAACATACCGTAACTCAGCCGTCATTGCCGCTGTATCGCTTTACCGTTGAGTTCATTAATACACGTCAGCGATTTCTGACATGGCGACGCGGTTTTCCTGACTTGGCAATGACATTCTTTGTAATTACGTTTTTTCCTATAACGTTTAACAGGGCAAGCTGGGTATATAAAATATACCTAAAATATGATAGTAATAAAAAGGATCTGTACGTTTCTGGTCATTTCACCTAATTTGTATGACATCTAAGAAACTTTCCCTTAAAAAAAAACAGAAAAAAAAGTCTGACCTATTTTTTTGGTTATTAAATCCTGACTTTGACAAAACGTATGAAACAGCCCCGGACGTTAACGTTCGTTAACAAAGCAACAATATTAAAACGATGTGTATAGTAAAAACGAAAAAACACATGACTCTCTCACAAAACAGAGTAAAAGGTAAGGCATAGCCGCAGAGGATTTCTAGGAAAAAAACATGACTCCTTAGTCCTTAACAGGGCCGTGCCTCAATGATAAGAAAACAAACATTTGCTTGAGGCAGTAAATTTAGGAAAAAAAGGTTAGGGGCATCATATATTTAATCTCATTAGAGTTATACATATACGTTCATATGGACTTACGAAGCAATGTGTAAAACTGTAAATGTTAGGAAACAATCAAACAAATATTGGGCTTTAAGTCTTTCACAATCTATTGATATGGGTAGATGATCACATGGGCTTAATTTATTAATTAAAAAAACAAACAATTTACCTACAATAATTAAGGCGTTGAAGTGGAGGTTATTAAACAATTAAGGTAAAAGAAGAGATATCGCTTTCTCTCTCGTTAGCCTTTTTTCTGAACAGAGAATGTTGTGGGAATTTTATAAAAGCTTTATAGAGATGATTGCTGATTTTGATGTTGTGATGATAGAACATCTTAGAAGATATAAAGAAGGTAAATCTCGTTTTCATTATCTCAGCAACAAAATTCAGAATGAG